AACCAAGTTAAAATAATAAATAGATCAAAAAGTATCTTATAAAATAAATTATAGACACATGTTAACTCAATTTAAATAATTAATTATAAAATGACAATAGATAAATTTTTGTTATATTTTTTCTTACATGTATTTGAAATATTCATACCAGGAAAAAAGTGAAAATGGATGTAAACGTACAACTATTACCTATGTTAACTATGTGAAAAAATAAAATAAAAAAAAAATTAATGAGTCGTATGTTAAACAATTATTCAATTACTGTTTGAAATGGAACACCATAATGGTTGTAAAATATACTTTTGTGAATATAAAAATGAGTTAGTTACTTAATATTTATCAAATAATCGAAAAAAGATCTAAAAATTTTTAATATTATAAACAATATAAAAGTACACTTTTATCAAATATATTATTACTATTAAACAAGTTTAAAAAAACAATGCATATAAATAGAATGTTAATGCAAATGGGAAAGAAAAAAGTCTGAATTTTCTTAGAAAAGTATGAGTATCATGAGTACCAATATCAAGAAATAAAAATCTTTTATTTATACTTACTACTTTTCTTAGCTAGCATTTAAATTATTTTCTCCATAAGAAATTGGTAATCATAAATAATGATTCCATATTATCATGATATGGACCACAAACTTTAATAATGACGTCATAATAATAAAATTCATATGACTAAGAGTATCATAATATAATATAATTCAAATTCTTCTCATTTGAAATATTTTGACAAAGTGATATGCCTCTCAATTATATTACAAATTCGATCGATTGGAAAAAGTATTAAGACATATAACTCTGAAATCATTACAACAACCAAAATAATTAATAATTTGCAAACAATAGGTTATGTAGTTTGTCTATCTTCCAAATAAATAACACTGAAAAGGGAATGTTCGATTCTGATCAAAATATTTTTGAATATTTGAGTAAGTTGTCACTTTTTAATAGAAACATTTACAATCTTAATTGTGTATTGTGCTTGAGAATATGCGCAATTACTTAAGAGTATGTACATCTATGTAATGTGTGATGATATTAAAAATAGTTTAGCATCTTTTCGGAGAAGTACATGATTTTGAAAAATCAACTTTTATTTAGAAATGAAATTCATTCTCACCCCATATGATAGGTATCAATTTGTCTATATGGGGAGAGAGAAAGAGAGAGAGAGTAATGTAGTAGTTTATACAATGATTAAAAAAAGTCAAGAATTTCAGTGACGCAGTTAGTTATTTCACAGAGATATTTATGAAATGTTAGTTGAAATACCTTATAATAATCATTCAATTATGAAGTTTGACTATATGCTTGGCTAAAGTATTTCTAAGTGTTGAATAAAGTAGACGTTTTACTAAATTAATTAAGAATAATTTTGCAATACTATTTATGTATTGGACTCCAATTAGTATGA